TAATTAGTCTTTGTAAACGAGCTGAACTGCCATAATTAGAATACAACTATTCTAAGCGTCCTTGTACACACTCGGTGCTGAGCCTACATGACATCTTCATACAACTGCAGAGTAAAAGCTGTCAAGACGCGTGCCCCCTCTTTACCATAAATCAGTTGTCAGGCTACATCTATGAAAACTATGCTAGGCCCCAATTTTGCACTTTCTGAAACAGAATAACACATATCTACACTGCTAAAGTGTATTATTCCTTTTTAGAACAAAATAGAAAAAAAAAAGTACACAAAGAGGGGACATATCATAGAAGTAGTGATGCACCGATACCAAGTACCGTACTCGGTACAAGTACAAGTACAGATACTTTTCCAGCTCCAAGACTAGACTAGAGAAAAATTCAAAAGTTAGGAGGCCGCTGTCATTCGTAAGGAGCACACGGAGCTCCTGGGATTTCTACATCTCTGTTTTAATGTATGATCTTTTTTTTTTTATAAACATATATAAAGGGATGCTCCGATACCATCAGTTTGCAAGTATTGATACTTGCCCAAGTACTTATAGACACAAGTACTGATACATTTTTGTTCAGTGTCATGTGACAGTTTTTCTAAAACAATATCAACTAATGATTTCAGGACAGTGGTGGAGCGCCAGAGCCAGGTCCCAGCTGCAACCCTGATAGTTTTCATGAAAATGCCAGGTATCGGCACTGGTATCTGAACTGGTATCGGTGCATCCCTACATAGATCTCGTTTCAAAATGTAACACCTTTTCATTTCTGCCTAGGTAATGCAATTTACAGTATTTTATTTGCAGCAAATATTTTAAACCTCGCACCAAATAGTTTACTGTTATACAGTGCATAATTAATTATATATCAGCAATATGAACCCGGCTAATTGGCATTCTTTGAAGATAAACAGTGCCATTGCCAAGTTGCTTTAAAAAGGTGCTTACTCCAATAGGTCATCCTGACCCTGGCTTCAGCACCTAGTAAATCACTGATGGTCATGGATAGTAAACAACCAATCAGTGAAATCTGAAAAGTCTGAATATCAGGGATATATAACCAAATTTGACAATTTAACACACTCATGGAGCACGACACATGTATGTTGTGAATAGGGTACATAGAAAACAACTGGTCCCACCATACATGTGCAGTGGTAAGCAGGAAAACACAGCTGAATGGACATGGTAGTAGGACAAGTTTGAGGTCTTTACTTTTATTTTGGCACACGATTCTGACTTTAACCAAAAGTAAGGTCAATCTGCTCTTATAGTTGTCACCAGAACAAGTAAATCTGCCCAGGACAGACAATGCAAAAAAAAAAACCAAAAAGCACCACTACATAAAAAATAAAATGTTTTCACTTTAGGTACCATTTAGCCCACTACTGTCACAGTCCAAGAGAAACTGCGTGCAGGGGGTGAGAAGGGATACTGGCCCCTAGCTTTTAGTTTTCAGCTATATCAATAATTGTGCAATATTTGATATTTTACAGCATTTCACATAACTTAAAGTGACACTAAACTCAGGAATTACATCTTAACGCATTTAAGTACCTTCATTAATAAACACAAATGTAGTTTCTTTGTGTATCACTCGGCTGTAGATCCTCAAATCATCTCTGAATTCATGCTGACACTGTCCTTCCTTCTGGAGTGTGGCTGCTTTTGTTCCCAATGGTCTCTGTGTGTTGTAAAGTAGTCACCGCTCCAAGTTCACTCCCGGGATGAACTACAATCTCACATTTTGTTAATTAATGTGTATTGAGATTGCAGTCCATCAAGGGAGCGAGCTTGGAGTGGTTACTACTTTACAACACACACGGGGACCATGGAGAACAAAAGTAGCCACCCTCCAGAAGGAAAGACAGTGTCACCACCAATTCAGAGATGATTTGAGGATCTACAGCTGAGTGATACACAAATATGATAAATGTTTGTTAACAGTTGGGTACCTGAATGCATTTCTATGAATTACAAGAAAATATTTTTACACAATCTTTTGTAATGCTAATCGTTATACTTAAGCTCACATAATCACACAAATGTGGTGACATTGTGCCCAAAAGTAAAACAAAAATGTAATCCCCGTGCACAGTGTTGAAAACAAGAAGACGCTTAGAAAGGCAAAACAAACAGTATTACACAAGTACTGTTGTTGACTCTCAGACTAAAATTGTTGCTGTTTAGATCTTCCTACCATGTGTGGTATATTTACATATACACCAAATAATAATACAAATATATAAAATAATGTTTACATAAAGTAGAAAAATAGTGCTGGTAATTTCTAAATAAATCTATAAAATTGTTTTTAATAAGTGTGGCACTTTTTATAAATGGCAAAAAATTCAAGAAATAAATAAAAAACTATCTTTTGTAATGCTTCTAGTGATAGCAAAACAAATGTTATTACATGATTACTGTTATTGATTCTCAGACTGAAATTCTGGCTATATAAAGCATCCAACCATGCATGTATATTTACATGTACACGCACAAATAATAGAGATTAAAAGGAAAATTACACTCATCCCCATAATTAGAGCCGACACGTGACATTGGAGCTGTCACACGTCGGCTCCAAGAACTGAGCGTTCACATACCGCTGATCTTACAGTTCCCGATCTTCTCCCCGCAAGGATGAGAGAGAGAGAGAGACAGCTGGAAATCATGCAGCGAGGTGGATCCCGTCAATACTGTTCGCATCTTTTGCGGCTGCAGCACAGCTCTGCACTGCTATATGCTGAGTTTTGGGTTACAGGAGGACATAGTAAATGTCCTCCTGTGACCCAAAAGAGAACTATGGTCAAAAAAGTTTGGGCCCTAGGTCTCTTTTAAAGTAATGCTAAACTCAGGAGTTCAGGAGTTAACCCTTAAAAATACAATCAAGTACCTTAACTATTAACAAAAATGTATCCTATTTATCTAACACTCCGCTGTAGATGTATGGAATAAAAAAAAAGTATTTTCAGACAGATATTGCTTCTAGAAATATTTAACATTCCTATAGTCATGCAATATTGTGCCCTTAAAAAAAACGTACAAAAATGTAATCATACAAAAATAATCGATGATATATATATATATATATATATCAAAAAATGAGATCTGGTTCTTCTATATAAATAATATAGAAAACTATTAACTATTGACTGCACTTTTCTTTATAAAGAATTATACCGTGCTGGTGCCTTTCTAAAAATGCAATGTAGATATCAAATGTTTATGGAATAAAAATATTTTTACACTATCTTTTGTACTGCTGCTAATGATAGTATAAGTTCATATATTAAATGCAATATTCCAAAAAATGTAATCACCTGGTATTGTGCAGGTGAGAGCTAAGTGTAAGTGCCAGTACTTTTCCGTATAAATTATTAAAAAATAGTGCTGGTACCTTTCTGTAAAAGGCAATGTAGATGGGAAAAGATTATGTAATAAAAATTATATTTTAAACCCATATCATCCTGCAAATAGTGCAATACTGTGCCCTAAAAGAGTAACGAAATGTAAACACCAGGCACAGTGTTGGGTTATAGAAACGAGAAGACGCAGAAATGAGACAAATGGTTTTACACAATTCCTCCCATTGATTCGCAGACTAAATTTATATACTTCTATATAAATTATAAAATAGTGTTGTTACATTTCTATATAAATAATTCTAAAGTAGCACTGAGACCGTTCAATATTTGGCAATGCAGATGTTAAACTATTTGTGAAATAAAAATATTTTCAGACAATCTGGTAATGTTCTTGGTTGAATTTATGCCCATGGAATCATGCAAATATTGTACCCTAAAAGAATAACAACAAAATGTAATCCGCAAGCACAGTGACCAGGTCCAAAATAATAATGATAAGTACAAAAAGAAATAGTGCTGCTACCTCCATCTAAATAATATACAAAATTATAAAATAGTATGGTTCCTTACTATTGAAATAATTATAAAATAGTGCCGGTACCTTTCTATTGAAATAATTATAAAATATTGCTGGTATCTTTCTATCAAAAGAACTATAAAATAGTGCCAGCACTTTTTTTAAATCTAAATTATTATTAGCACTGGTACCTATCAAAACAATTATAAAATAGAGCCTGTTTTTTTCTATCAAAATAATTATAAAATATCACCGGTACCTTTCCATCGAAATAATTATAAAATAGTGCCAGTACCTTTCATTCTAAACAATTATAAAATCGCGCAAGTATCGTTCTACAAATGGCAATGCAGATCTTAAAAGACGTATGGAACAAAAATATTTTTCAGACAATCTTGCAATGCTCCGAGTGATATTTTACACCCATATAATCTATGCAAATATTGCGCCCCTTAAAAAATAACAAAAATACCATCAGCAGGCACAGTGTTGGAAGAGAAACAAATGGTATTACACGATCACTGCTGTTAATTCTCAGACTGAAGTTGCTGCTATTTAAAGCATGTATATTTACATGCAAATATAATTGAAATATTTTTTTTTTTAATGTCAAATATTGCTGGTAGTGCTAAAGAAATATATGATTAAAAATAGTGCTGGTAATTTTCCATACCAAAGTTTATAAAATAGCAGAGACCGTTCAATATTTGGCAATGCAGATGTTAAAATATTTATGAAATAAAAATATTCTCAGACAATCTCGTAAAGCCCCTAGTTATATTTTAAGCCCAAATAATCATGCAAATAATGCAATATTGTGCCCTCCCACCTCAAAAAGTAACAAAAAAATGTCATCACCAGGCACAGTGACTAGGCCCAAACTGGACAAATTGTAAAGAATGAAGAGGACAGTGAATGATGTATATACAGAGCATGTTATATATACATCTAGAGCCAGGTTAGCACTGAGCTGGTGATCAGACAGATGAGAAGACAGTGGGATCACAATAGCACTGGATGAACTGTCCCCCCCAAACATGATGAGCACAGAATGAGCATTAATCAATCAGAAATCAGAATAATGAGAAGAGAAGGTAATATTACTCGACCTTTCGTCCCCTGCATGCTGACACTCTGTCATGTGGGTGTCTAGTAGGGCAGAGTTGGGGGGTCTGGAGAACAGGCTCTCAAAGGCCATGTCTGCACTACACACACTCTCTCAGTTTCTCTATTATTAGACTTTTTTTTAGCTTATTCTTATTTTTTTTACACCGAAACCAGGAGGGGACCGTGTACGGCAGACATCCCAGCTGCACAGCCGGAGCCGGGAAAGCAGCGATTAGTGCTGCCGTGAAACGAGTGAATACGGTGCACCGGAAGCAGTATAGTAGAATCGTAACAACTACTTCCGCCCGGGCTGCTTTTTCAGCTCCCGCCCAAAGAGGCGACGCGAAGCCGTGGAATGGTCCAATGGAAGCGCGGCTTTCTGACGGGCGCGAGGTGGTGGAGAGGCGGGCTGTGATTGGCTGGTATCAGGGTCGCGTGACTGAGAAAGCAGCCAGTCCTCCCGTCTGTAGTGTTTTCAATATAAAGGCTCGCGAGTTGGATAAGAGAAGAGCAGTGATTGGATGCGTTCGCCTCTCCTGGCCCGCCTTCACCTACAGGACGCTGGGAGTTGTGGTTTTTGAAGTGATGACGAGTTAGAGCACAGATACTACAGAATGAAAGTGCAGCTTTTCTGCTAATGTCTTTTTCTGCAGATATTATACTTATGGTGAACCTGTACTTTGCTCATATTAAAGCAGGACTCTAGCTAAAAATAAGATACAATTAATAAAATAAATAATAATTCTATTTTTTTCTAAAATATTCACATTCTGTCCTGAGCTTTACCCCATAGTACTTTTTTCTTCCGTTTGATGTCCTCAGTCTGAATGTCAGCAGCCTAGATCGTCCTGCAAACCCCCCTTCCCCTCCAGCAACCTGGACAGTGAAAGGAGAAGCAACTCAGTGATGAGCTCATCTCTCCATCTCTGTGCTCTCTCTTACTGTCAGCATGCTCCATGTTCGCATATTGACTAATTGCCTCCGTGTACTGATGCTTCTTGTCATAATAAAGCCAACTAAGGCTGTCCTCATGGAGACAAAATGCATATTCTCTCCTCTGTCCAGCTAACCCTAAGGCTCTGTTTACACCTAGGCGTATCGAATATGCGCATTTGTCGCGCGCTTCGTGACGTGCGTTATACCGCGTTTCTGAGGGCTACTTGGCTGTATCCTAATGGAAACGCGAGACAAAAATGCAGCAAAGAAGCTCATGTACCTTTTCAGGCGTAGGCCGTTTTGTAGCGCGTTCAGACGGGCTGAAATAAGGCAAGGTGTGAACCATACCCATAGAAAACAATGTGATTTTCATGTTTGAGCATTTTGTAGAGCGTTCATAGAGCGTTGAACGCGCTACAAAACGTACAGGTGTGAACCAGGCCTAAGGGTTCTTTCATGTGGCCACCTGTAGCCTCACAACATAAATTCCAGCGTATTTCTGCCGCCAGAAAGCCACAAGTACTGTGTGTAGCCTCCCATAGAAGTTACTGTCTACAATGGAAGGCTTTTCATGGGGGTGGTAAAGACCTCAGCCTGTGTAAATGAGGTCTTTACAAAATTTCGGTGTATAAAGCAATGGATTTTCTTTTCAGAGACGATTGAGCGGCGGTTTGCAGATGGCCAGGAGGAGATACTGCTGCCTCCCGAATACCTGTCTTGTTGTATACCGCAAGAGGGATATTACATTAAAATACCACAATTGTGTGCGGTTGCAGCGTTGTTCTTTCAATTTCACTGGGCATGTTTGGCAAGCGGCACCGCCTGCTATACATGATATGTTGAGTTAAATTTGCCGCAATGTGAAGTGAAGCGTCACTGCCTCAGCGATGTATATGTACCTGAGCATGCCTACAGGTGCATAACTCCAAAGGTACACTGTCTGCATTCGGGTTTCTGCTCCTGTACGCATATGTGTGTTTACGCAATTCTGGCCTATACAGGTGTATAGCCATTGATTTCTATAGGAGGCTGTATGCAGCACCTTAGTAATATCCCCCTCGTACACCGTACCGATGTACCCCAGAATCCAACGGGTACTGGAACAACAGGTGGATGGTGCCACAGTATACAATCTAGAAGATATGTTGTCCGCACACCGTTCTGCTTCAGAATATCATCTTTATGCGTATTCCTTTAGCATGACATATGCATGCAACGTTTCAGAGCCTCACAGGACCTCACAGGATGATATTCCGAAGCAGAATGATGTGCGGACAATATACCTTCTAGATTGTATGCAGCAACCGTGGCTCTGTGGTAGCGGAAATACTGGATATTACATTGTACGGCCAATGGCGGCCATTTGTAAGAGCCCTAACAATGAGCATAATGAGGGTCAGTGTTACTGAACTCCGTGCCCGGACATTGCACTTATCACAGGCATACACAATAGCCAAGACTTTTCAGTGACATGGAGCCTGTTAATAGTACAGGCTCAGCATCACATAGCACAGCGTTGCCGCCCATTGCTCCTATCTGTGTGACAGATGCACTAGCCAGTCAGAGACTTTTACTCACTTTAACAGACTCTGCGTCACTGAACTGACTGCATGCTTGCTTGTGTGCGCGTGCAGACACACGCACAAACATTCAGCGCCGCGGCAGCTACCTTTGCCGTGGAAAAATGTCCTTCTCAGGCACAGCCCTGGGTACCAGAGCTGAAGTGGTTCATTTATTATCTGGGTTAGCTGCAGAGTCTGATGAAGATGAACACAGCTGTTTATTGTGCCTCCTATTAAAATAGACCCTCACAAGTTTATATCCATCATCTTTTTCCCCAGTTTTCTTAATAAAGCTCTTGTGCAATGAAAGAGTTCCAGGTAAAGGTCTATAACCAATCCTTATTGTTCCACTCCAGCCAAAATCTGCAGCACTCCACCCAAAACATGTTTCACCCACTTGAAATAACAGTCATTCTGTTGGACTTTAATACTGTATTATACAAAATCTTAAGCGCCTAGGTGACTGTAGCTTAATGCCTTTATTGTAACTTCCACTGTAAGAAAACATTCACACTATGCAATTTGTGATTCCTGGCAGGAAATCCCAAATCTCCCATTTAAGTGCGGCTGCTGTCACCCGTTTAAGTTAATGACCTGGTAACAGTGGCCTCTGTAAGCAGCACTCTGCATACAATCGTATGTGATACGATTACATGTGGTTTGGAGTAGATCACTGTCCCTGGACACATCTTTCCTTGGTCCAGTGATCGATTCCAAACCTCATGTAATTACAGATGCAGCTTCTTTCACCCGGTCATTAACTTGAACGGGTGACAGTGGCCGTATCTAAACAGGAGATTTGGTAATTTGTAGGTTCCTGCTGCTGGAGTCCCAATTTGCATAGTGTGAATGAGGCATTAGGCCGTGAGTAATAACGCCATTAAACATTAATAACGTGTTCGCCCAGCGTATAGCGAGTCAGCGATGTTCACAGTGCAGTACTGAGCCTAGATGCAGCCAAGGAGCATACAAATTTCTTATGCAAAACGGGTGTTTCTATAGCTCTCTCACCTATATTCCCCTTTTGGACCAGAATTATTTTTACTTTTTTGCTATGGAGCTAGTGATTCAACAATATTTTGTAATTACTCAAAGCCCAATTCAACTTTTAATTTAAATAGGCTAAATACATTCCAGGTGTATCAAAAGCAATGGTGTGCAAAGTATTGCAGCTTGTTTTCTTTTGAAAGAAGCCATAGTAATTAAAAAAGTTTGTCCCCTGCCAGTATGCAGCGAAGAAGAATCTTTGCTCTCTGTGTGGAAGCAGTGGTCTCTCCCCCTACTTAGTCAGAGCTACAGGTCTGCAATCAGCAAAGCTCATGTTGAGTAAAGACCTCTAGCTCTAAGAGAGTGTGGGGAGGCTTGTCGGACCTCTGCAGAGAGACCACTGCATCCACACATAGAGCAAGGGTTCTTTCCTGCAGCCTGCTGGCAGCGGACAAGCTTTTCTACTTAGACTGTGCCTTTATTTGGAAAAAAAACAAACTGCTCTACTTTGCACACCTTTTGTGTAGATCATGGGTGGGCACCTCCGGCCTTCCAGCTGTTGTGGAACTATAAGTCCCATGGGGCATGGCAAGACTAACAGATACAGGCATGACTCCCAGAGGTAGAGGCATGTTGGGATTTTTAGGTAAATGAGAACTAAGAGGTGAGTGAAAATTAATCATCCTCATAGTTTGAGCCAACGTGTGACAATGAAACTGTCACACGTCGGCTCAATATATCGGAAAGTGAGCGAACGCATACCGTCGCTTGCTCACTTCTCGATAATCTCCATGTAGAGAGCAGTGACTGTCAGTCACTGCTCCCCACAGGGATTCCCCTCCTCCCCGTTCCAATCCTCCAGCGCTGACTGGAGGAACAGATGGGGAGGGGGCAGGCACAGCTGGCTTTGCCTCTAGATAGGTAGAGCCAGCGGTCACTCATGAAACTGTGTGGATCTCGACAGCATTGTCGGGATCCATCCCGGCTGCGGCGGTCTCAATATACCACGAGCTGTAGCTCGCTATCTACTGAGCTTTGGGTCACGGGAGGAGGCTAGTAGGGTCACGGGAGGAGGCTGGCGACCCTTAAGAGAACTATGGGGAAAAAACACTTACTTCATAGTTCTCTTTTAAAGCACAGCTGGAGGGCTGGAGTTGCCCACCCCTGGTATAGATGCACCTGGAATGTATTTATAGTTGATTTCAACTCCAATCTCAATTGGGCTTTAAGAGAATAAGTTATGTGTATATTGTTCTTTTGGGAAAGACAAACAAGGCTTCTTTTGACAATATTGTCTTGCAAAAATTATTGTACTTTGAATGCTGTTAATGGACAATAATCTTTTTTTTTCTAGTTTGACCAGTGAAGCAATGTTTCTGTAGATAACAAGTGTACATCATCTTCTCTAATTTATCCCATTTATAAAGATAATAAAACGATTTCTGGTACGAACCATTGTGACATTATTTACCAATAAAATTAAAAAAAACTTGTTTTTAATGTTGAAAATTCTTCTTTTACACAGGAGTTCCTGCATTTGCTCCCATGACACATAGCAAGTCCCGGCTGTCATTATGACAGCCAGGATTTGCCAGCAATAGGGTCTGTGGAGCTGCACTCATGAAGGAGATACACGCTGTTGAAGATTTTAGATTGTGTCTCCTATTTACAAAATCTGGAACCGGGTAATTAGCTAACATATGTCATAGCCAGACTGGCTTTGCCTCTAAGTTGTCTAAGACAAATCCTCTAGTAGATCTTAAGTCCCAATCGAAGGAGGTCATGTGACTGTTTATCTCCCATGG